CAGATTAGATGAGTCTTTGCCACATGAAGCCCTTTCTATTTCCAATTATTGTGACAAGGAGATCAGATAAAAACATAGTTTTTGGGTTTTTTATTTTTATTTATTTATTTTTTTGTCAGTCATGGGCCTGAACTCTGGGCCTGGGCGCTGTCTCTCAGCTCTTCATCTCAAGGCTAGCGCTCTACCACTTAAGCCACAGCGCCACTTCTGGCTTTTTCTGCTTATGTGGTGCTGAGGAATCAAACCCAGGGCCTCATGCATGCAAGGTAAGTGCTCTACCACTGAGCCACCTTCCCAGCCCTATAAGGAAAGCCTTTTTGTTGTTGTTGTTGGTTGAGGGGCCTGATCTCTAAGCCTGGGCACTGTCCCTCAGCTCTTTCAACTTAAGGCTAGCGCTCTACCATTTGAGCCACAGTGCCACTTCCGGCTTTTTCTGCTTATGTGGTGCTGAGGAATTGAACCCAGGGCCTTTATAGTTATTCTGAACTGCATATAACAGTTTAGGATACCAGTTGAGATTAAGACATTGTAGGTGTCACCAAGCCTTTGTGATTTCAACAAAGAATGCAGGAGTTGGTGTCCTTTTAGCTCTGTATCCAAAGCAGCTTACATGAAAAAATGGCATTTGAGTTAAAAGGTGTTCATTTGAAGGACCTTGACATAAGCAAACACTTAAGTGAACATTGGTTTGCACAAACAATTACTTTCATAGAAGGGACATTAAGAATGAAATGCTAGTTTTCAAAGTTACAGCCAACTGAATTACATACCAACTTAACTTATAATCTCTATCTTTTAAGACATATTTATACCATCTGCTACAAACACAAGCCTTTTGGGGTAAGACAATTTTTACTTTTTTACCTTTTTTAACCAGAGGAAGCCATTTTCATTCCTTTAATTAGCAGATAGAGGAATAGTACATCCACTACTTAAGTAGGGGAGTCAAATTATTTTGCTTTCAGAGAGAGGAAATGAGGCCCTGTTAAGCAAAGATGAAAGTTCTTGGTCCAGGAATACAAGAGACCTTCATACATGCAGGGAAAGCAGGCACTGGGTCACTCATGTGGAGAAAATATAGCGCTTAAGACAGGTATATGAGATGAGTTCTCAACATTTCCATAAAGGAAATGACATGTCCTTACAATCAAGCAAAAGAGGTGAGACTGGCCCAGGTATTAGTGGCTCATACCAGGAAGCCTAACTACTCAGGAGGCTGAGATCTGAGAGTCAGGGTTCAAAGCCAGCTGGGGTTGAAAAGTCTATGAGACTTATCTCCAGCAAAACCAGCAAAAAGCCTGAAGTAGAAGTGTAGCTCAAGTAGTAGAGTGCCAGCCTTGAGTGAAAAAGCCCAATGAGAGGGCAAGACCCTGAGTTTAAGCCCTAACACTGGCACAAAAACCGACAAATGAGATGCCTGACACTGAGGCAAGAAAAACAGACTTTGTAAAAGGGGAGGTGAGATCAATGATCACACAGAGGTGATAGAACCAACCAGGCTTTGGTGGCTCACATCTGTCATCAGCTACTCAGGAGGCTGAGATCTGAGCACCACAGGTCAAAGCCAGCCTGAGCAGGAAAATCTGTGAGATTCTTATCTCCAATTAACTAGCAAAAAGTTAGAAGCTGAGCTATGGCTTAAGTGGTAGCGCACCAGTCTTGAGCAGAAAAGCTGAGGGCAGCACCCGAGCACTGAATTCAAGCCCCATACTGACCAAAGAAAGAAAGAAAAAAGGAACCTTCTGTAGACACGAGGTCTGTTAGAGACAAGGTTTCTTGATGCTTCAATGGAGGAGACAGGAGCTTGGATCCTCAGGACTGGTAAAACCTTCTTGCACACAAACAGAAGAGGTAAGATTCAAGACTCTCAGGAAGGAGAGATAGGACCTTGGGACAGATACGCGGGGAGCTGAGAGGAGAATTTCAGACATCCAGAGTAGAGACAAAATCCCTGACATTTAGGTGGGGAGATGAGACTATACTTGAGGAGGGGAGGGGAGGGGAGGAGCGGGGAGGGAGGTGTGAAGAGGAGGGAGGAGGGGAGGGAGTTCATGACAGCTAGGTGTGGGAAACGAGAACTCTTGACATTTCATTATGGCAGCTGAGACTTCAGGACACTGATACAGGTGAGGTGTAATCTTTCAACATGCAGGTAAAGGCCATAAGACCTCTTGATTATCAGGTAGAGATGCTGAGACACGGTGATAACCTAGGGGAAGAGATAAGACCTCTAGCCCAGGCCTGGCGCGAAAGAGATGTTCTCACTTACGTGGAGAGAAGTGGGAGTTCTGGATTCTCACAGGAGGCAGTTGAGGGAGCTGTGGTCTCTGAAAGGTGATGTGAGGTGAGAACGTAGGACACTTAGAGAAGCTGCTCAGAGAACTCAAGGTCACCTCGTAACCCAGACTCAACAGTCGAAGGAGGTGAGATGTCTTGATAGGTAGGAGAGATGGGATCTACAGAGCTCTCAGGGGAAATGTCACTTCTTTAGCCTTCTGACAGACTGGTGGAAACTTAGAAGAGACGGGACCTTTGGATGTTCTTGTGAGGGAGGGGAGACATTTTAATATCTAGGAATATGTGACAAGCATTCGTCGTGTTCTGGCAAGATGATGCTATCTTCAGACAATCGGCTAGAAAAAAAAGACACTTTATGATATGCAGTTATCTATGAGAAGTTTTTACCTCCCGCTCCCTACACCCGCCAGTAGTGGGGCTTGAACTTAGGGCCCTAAACTTTCTGGCAGGCATTCTATACCATACTCTAAGCCAGTATACCAGCCCCTTTTTACATTGGTTATTTTCAAGATAGGGTCTCACTTTGTGCTTACACTGGCCTCTCAGAGTCTCCTGTTTGTGCTTCACTTTATGATTGAGAGGATAGGTATGTACTACTGCACCATCCAGCTTCTGTAGTCTAGGGTGACAGGTGCATGCCTCTGCCCCTTGCCGTTAATTGAGATGGAATCTCATAAACTTTTGTGATTGGGCTGCCATTATCCTCCAGTCTCAGCCTCCCAAGTAGTTAGGATTACAGGCTGGAGTCACACCTGCTGGAGAGAATACTTTGCTGCACTTAGGTCCCATAGAGGAGACCTGGAGACATTCAAGGAGGTAATATGAGATGTTGGGATACTCAGTAGTAGACAGGAAAGTGGGTTTATATTCATGAATAGGGGAATTCAGGTAATCCCAGCTATGCTGGGATTTGCTTGAGTAAAGTTAGCTCAAGACTATCTGAAAAACAAACTAAAAGCAAAAGGGCTCCAGAAAGACACAGGTGATAGAGTAATTGCCTGATCAAGACTCTGAGTTCAGTTCTCAGTGTCACAAAAACAGAAAGGAATTGGACTTTTTTGAAGGTGTGTTGACGTCCACCCTCGGGAGAGGGCGCACTTCCCTCAGGAAGCACTAAGGGCTCCGTGTCTGTGAAGCTTGATGATGTTTAGACACAGTTCCTGAGTCTGCGTGGTCACAACTCAAAGAGGTCATCTTGGCCAGACATGGAGGCTCATGTCTGTAATTCCAGCTCCTTGGGAGGCAAAGGTCATGAACATCATGATCCAGACTAGGCCTGGGCAAAATTATAAGGGTGCTAGCCAAGAAAATTTTAAAAAGAGGGGTGTGGTTATGAGTCCTTGAGCTTGGATCTTAGTATTGTCAATAAATAGATAAAATACATAAATAAGATGAAAAGAACTGATCTTGAACCTTCACCTGGTTTGCCTGGGACCTGGGAAGAGTAATGTGCAATAGAGGCCTTGACTTTGGGCTAGAGGGGATAGGGTTGACCCCAAGCCTCCGTTACCCTAGGTCTGGGATGGCTTTACAGAAAGTTGGGAGGTCACTTCAGCATGGATCCGTTAAGCCAAGGGCCCTGTGCAGACGGCCTATGGGGTGGGGGTGTTGCCTTGCTGATTGGCCAGAATTTTACAGAGCTTTGTGAGGTCATGGCTTGCAGGCCTGTCTAGAGCAGGAGTACAGTAGAGATGCTGCCAACTGCTGTTCTGCTGGTCTTGGCAGTGTCCGTGGTTGCCAAAGAAAACACCACGTGTGAGTAAGTGTTGGGGGCCTTGGTGTGGGGAAGAGCATCTTCTAAACGACAGATCCCACCCAGACTCCCTCTGCCTGGGGCTGGGTGGGGGGCCACACTTGAATCTTAGCAGTCCTAGGGTAGGCTCACAGTTCCGGTATCCACATCCCCAACTCAGACCCTCCCAGTTTCCAGACCCTCAGTCTTCTGTTGCCCTTGAAAGGGACCCTTCAGCTCCTGGATCTGTTTTCCCTGCTCCTCCAATAACTGCTTCTCAGACATCAGGTCCTGATTTTTAGGAGCCCCTGTCCTTCAGTGGACAATGCCAGTACCCTGCCTGTTCCTGGCTGTGAAGGCAGTACGTGCCACTGTACACGTACTCACCCCTGAGGATCCTACAGTTCCATCACGGCCCAGCTAGTGGAAGCCTTCCTCCTGTGACTCAGTTCCCAAGCTATGTACCTCTGGGCCCCCACTGCTCCTTGTGCCCCTCTGCCCGGGAACCATGGAGGGCTCACAGCTACCCTCCCCTCCAGCCCGCTCTGCGTCCTCAGACCCCTTACGTCACGCCCTCCCCGAGTCTCCCACCTAAGATTGACCCTGACCACCCCAGGCCCTTAGGCTCATCTGCTTCCAGACCCTCCACTGCACTGCTAACTCCCACTCTTCGCAGGGATTCCCCTGTGCCTCTAGGGCCACAGGGCCCGGCCTCACTATATGGCCCCGTCTTCTCATCCTGAGATGAGATACACACTATCCAATAAATCATAATGGCCTAAATGATTTCCCAGGGCCCGTGCTTTCTGTACACCTCATCCCACCCCTTTCCCAGAGCCCTGCAGGACTGTTCTGCCCTTCCTAAGCCCAGAACCCTTTCTCCCCCCAGGTGTGAGGTATGAGGACACGCTGGGCCCGTCCTTTTTTTGAACTGTGTCCCTCAGTGTGTGTCTCCTGTGTCTCTTCTCAGTGGTCCCTGTGGGTTACGGTTCAGGCAGAGCGTGCAAGGGCCTGTCCGGATTGTTGGTGGACAGGCTGTGCAGCATGGCGCCTGGCCCTGGATGGTCAGCCTCCAGATCTTCATGTCCCACAACAGCCGCAGGTACCATGCATGTGGAGGTACCCTGCTGAATTCCAACTGGGTGCTTACAGCTGCTCACTGCTTCGATAACAGAAAGTACGTGTGGGGACTTCCGAGGGCGGTCTCTAGAATGTTCTTGGAAAGGGACGTTCCTCAGGGGCTCTGTGCAGGGTCTTCCTGGGGCTCTGGGTGAGGTGGTAACCAGATCCTGATGGAAAGCTCTGTCCAGCTGTTCTGTAAATGAAAACAATTGGCTTACCTTTGTGTCTGCAGAAAAGTCTATGACTGGAGACTGGTTTTCGGAGCACAGGAAATTGAGTATGGGAGCAATAAGCCAGTGAAGGCACCTCTGCAGGAGAGATATGTGGAGAAAATTGTCATTCATGAGAAATACAACGTTGTGACAGAAGGGAATGACATTGCTCTCTTGAAGGTCACCCCTGCTGTCACCTGTGGGCGCTTCATCGGGCCAGGGTGCCTGCCCCATTTTAAGGCAGGCCCTCCCAAAGTTCCCCAGACCTGCTACGTGACCGGATGGGGTTACATAAAAGAGAATGGTGAGTACAGGACGGGCTCCTCGGTGGGGATTCTCCTGGGGGTCTTCATGGCAGAAGGAGTCATCTGTTGGTACACGGCTGAACAATTTTCAGTCTTTAGCATGGTACCAGAAATAGAGCCCTTTCACAGCTGGAAAACTCTTGAAGTCGAGGCCTCTACCCAAGTCACATGACTGGCACAGGTGCCTAAGGGAAGGATGAATGGCAGACACAAGCATTGTTTATTTTTTACGCTGAGTCAAGGCTGTGTTTGTGTTGGCATCTGGAGCCCAAGTTGCTACACCTGCTCACTGGATCTGGAGAGCTCCGCATGTGGTTTTGTGTCTTGGGTCAGTTTTCCTCTTTCAAGATTGGAAGGGCCAGATCAGATAGTCTCTAAGATGAACATTTCAAACCTGTGACCCAGAGCTGTCTTTTTCTTTCTTTCTTTCCTTTTTTTTTTGTCAGTCAGGGGGCTTGAACTCTGGGCCTGGGCACTGTCCTTCAGCTCTTCAGCTCAAGGTGAGCCACAGTGCCACTTCTGGTTTTCTGGTGTTTTATTATTCAAAGGCAGCCTGGGCTGGCTTTGAACCATAATCCTCAGATCTCAGCCTTCTGAGTAGATAGGATTTCAGGCTTGAGCCTCCAAAGTGTAGCTTAATATTTTTTTTTTTAAGTAAGAAAAAAAACACCTCATCTTCCTTTCTCTCTTATTCCCTTCGCCAGAGGCTAATTCAATTCCTGACAGACTTGCTACCTGTCTTGTCTTTTAGGGTATGTCCCAAGTTGCCATTGTCTTCACTGGTATTTTTTTTTTTTGGGGTCCAGTCGTGAGGGACAGCCTGGGCACTGTCCCTCAGCTCTTCAAGTCAAGGCTAGCGCTCTACCACTTGAGCCACAGCACCACTTCCGGCTTTTTTCTTTTTGCTTATGTGGTGCTGAGGAATCGAACCCAGGGCCTCAGGCATGCAAGGCAAGCACTCTACCACTGAGCCACTTTCCCAGCCCTTCTCTGGTATTTGTTAACATACAACTTGCTCTCTGGTCTGAGTTGCCCATCTTCATCCCACCTGCTGATGCCTCAGAATGAGGACATGCATTATTCTGGTCTTAACTCCTCTCTGCCTCTGAGCATGTCCACTGCTCGGAGACTCTTGTAGTCCTTGGACTGGTTTCAGGTCTCCACTACCACCTCTATCTACTTTTACTATCCAGTTGTCTTGGAGGATTAGGGGCTCCCAGCTATACCTTGGATGTCAAGCAAGACGTTTTTGTTCTGGAAGCCTAAATTAATGAGATACCTTTTATTTTTGTTTTGCATAGACACCCACCGCTCCTAAGTCCCAGCCTTAAATCCTCAGGTTTCAAACTCCCATTATTTGCTCAGATGCTCTTGTTATGTCTCCTTGAATTCATCTGTTTCAAGGGTGGAAGAACTTCCCAGGTATTGTTCCTTTTACTTAATTTTGAGTTTCTATAGGTTTCCTAATATTGGCGACTCAAAACCAAGGGACTGGGACTGAGAACATTGTTCTCTATTTCAGTACACTTGGCTCTTCACAATGAAGAGGTATGGCTGTCAAGCTCGGTCATAGATTGCTGTCTTACTGCCATTCTCATGTTAGGCAGTACATGTACAAAAACTCTTACTGCTGCCTGGATGAGAAGAAAAGTAGAAGCTACAGTGTTTGCAAAATAGACCCACAGCTAAGCAAACATGCACTCAGCAGCTATCTACTTGAGTACTGAATTCTGTATCACAGCTTCTTGCATTTTCTTTTTTTCTTTCCTTTTTTTTTTGTCAGTCATGGGGCTTGAACTCTGGGCCTGGGCCTGGATGCTGTCCCTCAGCTCTTCAGCTCAAGGCTAGCACTTTACTACTTCTGGCTTTTTCTGCTTATGTGGTACTGAGGAATTGAACCCAGGGCCTCATGAACGCAAGGCAAACACTCTACCACTGAGCCACCTTCTCAGCTTCTTGCATTTTCTATCTTTTTCTTGCATAGCTGTGTATCCAGGTCTGCCCTACATCAGGCTGCTTCCTTCCAGTACTGCTGATGAAGTCCAACCCCAGAGCCAGAAGGCTGTAGGTTCTGCTGAGGTTGGGGAGCAGCATAGCTGCTGTCATTAGGTCTTCTGGCTGCAGTGGTTCTGGGACTAGGTCTAAGCTGTAGCCTAGCCAGACCTTTCCTAATCCCAACATTGTGATAGGGCTTTGGGTGGAAAGAAACTCTGAGTCACCTTTCCTTTTCCTAAAATCCCCTCAAAACGGTATACAGGGAGGATTCTGTCCACAAGCAGGTGTAAGGTAGAAACACAGTGAAGGTGGCTTGTAGAGATACTGTGAGGAATGAAAGATGTGTCTCAGGCTTGGTCTGGAGGGAGCAATTCTGGCAAGATTCCAGCTCCTGCCATTCCCAGAGTAGGTGGTGGTGCTCCAGCTCTGCATGCAGAGTGGGAATAACAGGACCAGGGAGCCATAGTGAGTGCTTGGGCACATGCTACTCCATCCATCCATCCATTCATTCATTCATTTGTAATGCAACAACTAACCTCCTGAATCTTCCTCATCTACTATTCACACACACACACACACACACACACACACACACACACACATCTATCACCTTTCCTTCTTCATTCAGGTAACATTCTTCTACTTCCATACACTTGCTCTTTCACTATGTAGTTCTTCCTTTCAGCAATGCACAAGGAGAAGCTGAGGGAGCATTACAGAGGATGGGGTTCATGGAGGGAAGAGGCAGGACTTTTCCTCCATGTCTTCCTAATCCCCTAACCTTTGTGTGGCCTGGCTGCAGCTCCCAGGCCATCACCCATCCTGCTGGAGGCACGTGTGGATCTCCTTGACCTCGACCTGTGTAACTCAACCCAGTGGTACAATGGGCGTGTCACGTCAACCAATGTGTGTGCAGGGTATCCTGCAGGCAAGATTGATACCTGCCAGGTAACTTCCCTCTGGTGCCCAGACCCGAGGGTCCCCCACCCCACCCCTACCTCAAGTATTACCAGGCCTTGAGAACACTTCATTTTGGGCCCTTGAGCCTCACCGTTTCTACTCCCTGCTCTGGACCCTATTTTAATGATTCCTTCTCTGAGCCCTTCACCTAACCTTGATGGTCGCAATGAGGATGGAAGGTACTATCAACCAGATTCTCTTAAAGATCAGTTACATTTAGCCCTTGATCCCAACTTTAGAATAATCCACTAAACCTAGTCTTGCCTCTTCACAGTTGTTAATAACACACAGTTAAGCTACATGCATGCTCATATGGGTTCACTCATCTCACTGCAAGAAAACTCATGCCAATATATACTGTCTTCGTAACCCGATGGAAGCTGTTGGCACAGCCTCAAATGTATGGAGCCATTTGTGCTTCTAGCAGTGGAAAACATGTGGCTGCAGAAAGTGCCCTCTCGGAGCCCCGTGACCCTGGGCAGGAAAAGGGTCTGAGGCCGAGAGTGACTTGTGTGTCTTTCCGGGCAGGGGGACAGTGGTGGGCCTCTCATGTGCAAAGACAGCGCAGACAGCCCGTTTGTGGTTGTGGGGATCACAAGCTGGGGCGTGGGCTGCGCCCGTGCTAAACGCCCTGGAATCTACACGGCCACCTGGGACTACCTGGACTGGATTGCTTCCAAGATAGGACCAAACGCCTTGCACATGATTCAACCAGCCACGCCTCACCCCCCTACCACCCATGCCTCCTCCTCTCACCTCCCCTCCTCCAATCCTGCCTGGTACTTTGAAAACCCTCCTCATGCTGCTCAGTCTTCCCATACTCACCCCTTTCGGCCTCAGCCCTATCCACCTCAACACCCATCCCAGCCTCCGCCACCACCGCCCTTATCTCACACCAAGCCTCCCAAAGCACTTTCCTTTGCCAAGCGCCTACAACAGCTTATAGAGGCTCTGAGAGGGAGGCCTTATTCTGTTGCCAAGAACTCTTACTACATGGGGCCTACGGAGTACCCAGAGACAGTCCTCTCCTGATCCGACCTTGTTTTCAACAGACCCAGGCCCCTCATTCCTTAAAAAAGAGAGAGATGAAATAAACATATACACATATATTTATTTATAAATAAATAGATAAATACAAATACAGGCATGCACATGAAGAGATGCTTTCTCGACTTTTATCTGCCTGCTCCAACTACACATCCAAACCATCAGCTCTACCCCTCCCCGCTTCACCCTTTAATAAAGTGAAATTGCTCGTGTGTTTATGTTGTTATTTTACAATTTTTGGTATTGGGGATTGAACCCATGGCCTCATGCTTGCTAGGCAAGCATGATTTTTGTTTTATTTATATTTTTGTTGGTCGTGGGGCTTGAACTCTGGGCCTGGGCGCTGTCCCTCAGCTCTTCAGCTCAAGTCTAGTGCTCTGCCACTTGAGCCACAGCGCCACTTCCTGTTTTCTGGTGATGGATTTAGCATTAAAGTACAACCAAAGCCCCATAAAAGTTCTCAGGCAAGAGGAGCACCAGGCGAACCATGTAGACCAGCAGAACTTCAAGCTAGAGGATGAGTAGGAAAGGAAGATGAAGTGTTGGTCTCCATGGCTTGTTTTCCTTCTTCCATTGAACTTCCTTTCATACACTTGCTGAGAATTTGTGACTAGTTAGAATTGTGGAGAAGCTCTGCTTAGAAGAAACAAACTAAGCAGCAGGTGGATCTGTGCAACTTAAGAGTGGGCAGTAGTGGCTGGTTGGCACAGCCCACAAATGTAAATGTGCAGCTTCCTTTTCCTTCAGATAAGTGCCCTAGCTAAAGCAGAGCCATTTTGCTCTCTCCTTTTTATACACTTTGCTGACCAGACATTCATACTCCCACCCTCAGCCTTGAGGCTAGACAAAATCTAGGATGGTTAGTCCTCTACAGCTTTCCTGGTGGTGGTTTGAAGCTGGCTTCCAGTTGAGACAGCCTTGCCTGCTTTCCTGTCGCCCATCCTTTCAGCTCCCCTCCCTCATCTTTGGGGAGAATGGCTCCAGTTGGCCATCCTCAGACTCCGCTTCTAGGGAATGTGATACAAAGCAGTGCAAAGTCAATACCAGGGGTGAATTTCACTGCATGTTTAGCCTATTTCAACAAAGCTGCTTGTATTAAAAAACTATTGGCTGATGGGGCTGGGAAGGTGGCTCAGTGGTAGAGCGCTTGCCTTGCATGCCTGAGGCCCTGGGTTCGATTCCTCAGCACCACATAAGCAAAATGAAAAAAGCCAGAAGTGGTGCTGTGGCTCAAGTGGTAGAGAGCTAGCCTTGAGCTGAAGAGCTGAAGGACAGCACCCAGGCCCAGAGTTCAGGCCCCACGACCGGACCTCCCCCCCCAAAACAACAACAAAAAACCTATTGGCTGGGGAAGTATCTTAGTGGTTAGAACATTTGCTTGCATGCATGCATGAGGCCTTGGGTTCAAACCCCAGCACTGTCAAATACATAGCCAATTTACTATTTACAATAACTAAAACTTGTTATCCCTCCCTTCCCTCCACTTCCACTTCCAATCCCACCTCATTAATGCTTTTTTTTTTTTTTTAAGTCGGTCATGGGGCCTGAACTCTGGGCCTGGGTGCTGTCCTTCAGCTCTTCAGCTCAAGGCAAGCGCTTTACCACTTGAGTCACAGTGCCACTTCTGGCTTTTTCTGCTTATGTGGTACTGAGGAATCGAACCCAGGGCCTCATGCATGCAAAGCAAACACTATACCACTGAGCCACCTTCCCAGCCCCTAAAGTAATGCAATTCGAAAAACCTCAGGGCAGGTGAACTCTGAGTTGACTGTGTGAGCATCATTTATTTAAAGAAGAAGCTCCCACTCCTATGTTTTGCTGCTGCTGCTATTACTGGGGCTTGACCTCAGAGCCTGAGTGCTGTCCCTTTACTTTTTGGCTAAGGGCTAGCATTTTACCACTTGAGCCACAGATCACTTCTGGTTTTCCAGTGGTTAATCGGAGTTGAGTCAGGGTTTGTCCATTCAGGCTGGCTTCAAACCATGATCCTCAGATCTCAGTCTCCTAAGTGGCTAGAGATTACAGGCATGGGCCACCAGCACCCAGCACTTTTTTTTGTTCTTGCCAGTCCTGGGGCTTGAACCCAGGGTCTGGGGACTGTCCCTGTGCTGCTTTTACTCAAGGTTAGCACTCTACTTCTTGAGCCACCACGCCACTTCTGGCTTTTTCTATGTGGTATTGAGGCATCTAACCCAGGGCTTCAAGCATGCTAGGCAAGCACTCTACCACTGAGCCACATTTCTAGCCCCAGCACTTGTTCTTGAAACACTAAATTTCACTGAAATGGTCTTCTCTAGTCAATCAAGATGAGGTTACGCTGTGGTAGATCAAGATGATGATCTGCAGTTAATGTGGTTGACGGTCTGTATCATTTTCCCCAGTATACCTCAGAACCTCCAAGCACAAACAAACACTCTATGTAACTCAATGTTTATTGTAAAAAATACAAACAAAACAACAGTGAAAATAATGCAAATGATGTTCAGGATGATCATAAAAGCATACTACCAAGCCACGGGTACTGGGCAGGGGAGGAGGCAAGCAGGGCATCTCTTCTGCCACTCAGTCGTTGGTCACTCACAGAAGGCAGTGTTCAAGGATCCTAATGAACTGGAGGAAAGGTTCCCATGCTGACAGGAAGACTTTGAAAGCTATTCTGAAAGCTGACTTCATGCAACCCCAGTGACGTGTTCCTTGTGGCACAGCTGTTTGACCTCATGTTTACCAACAGTAATGTATGTGATTACATACAGCTACACATTGTTTTTTCTTTACTGTGATGCAAACCTGGTTCCTATGATCTCAGCCTTATGTAGAAGAGTTCTTGAAATAGTAGGTACTCGAAAATCTGGAATGAATAGTTCTATGTTCAAAGGCATTGTTTTAAAAAAGTTGGCTGGGAGACGAGGGAAAAAGGACAGAGCCTCACAAATTCTGCTGGGGGAGCGGGATGTGATAACCAGGGATCAGCGATCATTCTCTTGGCAGATATGCATCAGATATCCCTGAGGTCAGTTTTGGGAGGAAAAAACAAAATCCAAACAAACCTTAAACACCTAAATGTCTATTTTCTGAAGAGGCATGTACGTATGTTCCCTGATTCTTTGCTGCTCAGCTGGGGGTGTGGGTGGAAGGCTTGGAAGCACTGAGTGCTAATTCTGCTGCAGGGAGGTTGGTGGGGTCCCACACCAGTGTGCTTGTGCTGACCTCATCCTACACCAGGGGATGGTGGGTTTGCAGAAGGCTGAGCAAGGGTGGTCTGAAGAGCTGCTCCATTCACAGCTAGAGGGGTCTTCCAAAAGGCTCCCCCCACATCCCCTCAAGTCAGCGATTCGAGGCTACTCTTGGATCAGGTAGGGGATGGGCTTTCAATCCTGCTACTCGGCTCTTGGTCTGGTGCATCCTCTTCTTTCTGCTCCAACTTGAAATTCTGTGAACAAGGTCCCAGATGAGGCCTGGCCCTGCATGTGCCCGTGTAGCCCCGATACAATTAAAAGTAGCAAGGGCAAGTAGAATACGTTACATTGGGTTATACCCCACATCTCTGAAGAGGAGGCAGGCTTTTTCTATCCCCTCCCCCCACACGGGGCCTAGCCTACCTCGAGCTCCCGTAAAACCTCATCCATAAAGTCCTGGGAATTCTGTTTGTATGACACAGCTAAGCGGATTGCATCATTGAAGAGCTGCAGGTGGTAGAGGCAACGTGTGACAATGGGCAGAGGGCCTTGGCCTCCCACCACCCTCTACCACTAGCAAGCCTGCTCTTCATTGCAGCCCTCATCACCGGATCCAGTCAAGAGACACGCACGGCATCAAGCACAAGCCCACCACCCTATTCCCCCACTACCCCCTCTCCCGCCCCGGCTCACTGGCACACTCTGTCCATCCTCCTGGTCCCTTCCCTTCACAGATCCCTATGACTTCAGTATCTATTCCCCATCTCACTGACTGCTCCTGCAGCCTGCCATTACCTTCACAACATTGGTACCATCAGCAGCTGAGACAAAGTACAGAGGCAGGGAGAACTTCCGGGCAAAATTGAAGCTTTTCTGAGTCACCTGTGTGTCTGCTGCAGAGAAAAGCAGGGCATTGGCCTATCTATTGAGAGAAAGGGAAAAGGGATTTGAAAGCTAAGGGGAAGCTGAGCTAAAAAGTAGGGTATGTGTTCTGAGTAGACAGATCTGTCTCAGGAAGAAGACAGATTGGCATCTTTAAGGGGAAGGGAGGTCAGGAAGGATAGATCACTGAAGGCCACCCACTCCAGGGTAGTGGGAAATGTATGGTGGAGGGTTCCCAAGAATCACTGTCACTCAGGTCCAGGGATGGCCCCACCATCGATTTTATTGGCCACCACGACGCATGGGATCTCCGGCCTGAACTCCCGAAGCTCTGCATACCAGGTGCTCAGGTTCCTATAGGTGACTTTCCTCTGTACATCAAACACCTGCGAAGGGCAGAGGAAGACGTCATTTCTAAAATCCATTTCTAGTGACTCCCCCCCCCCCTTGCTCCCTCCCCCCCCGGGGGGGCAGGTGAGTACAGGCAAGCACCATAGCCAAGGAATTCAGGCTGGCACACTAGCCAGAAGAGGGTCTGAGAGGAACCAATGCATACACATGGACATCCAGGAGGGTGGCACTCTCAAGACAGGAGAGGCAAGCTTCAATAGCAGATGTCAGAGCACGACTGAAACTGAAATGGCTAAGTTTCCTGTTCCTGTGAGTCATACTTCTAGCTCCACTTGCCTTACTTTATATCCTCTTTTGTTTTTAGTATCTTCTTAAGAATTTGGAAATTCTCAAGGGCTTAAGGGACTGAAGAGCTGGGTAATGAGCCTCTCCTTTATACTTTGAAAGGGATCAGGAGGGAAGAATCCTCACTATCTTCATTGTGGTGTCTGCCAGCTGATAAGCCCCCGTTGGCAACTTTCACATACCAGCCAGTCCATGAGCCAGAAGCGGTAAGGTCTGTTGTGCATAAAAGAGCAACTCTGCCACATATCAGAAAAGGATGTATAGAGGTGGTGGTGTCTAAGCAGAGCCTGGATGAGCAGTATTTCAGTGAACAGGTATAAACCAGGGCAGGCTGAGGGAATGGGGAAGAGTAAGCAGACCAGTTTCTTTTGTATCCCTTCTGCTGCTGCTGCTCATTCAGGGCAGAGACAAGGTCATGCACACTGAAGGAAACTACAAAGTAGGAGGTAGTACTGGAAGGGTGAGTGTTGTCAAGTGTTATTGAGTGTCAGGGCAGACTTAGAGACACTAACGGTGGTGCCAACTCTTCCACTCCACGTGCTTTTATCAGCGATGTGGGACCCTTTGTGACTGCAGCCAGACTGAGGTTGTTGGACTTTCAGGGCTAGGCCACAGGGCAATACAACTTCCACCTGACTTTCCTTGGGTTCTCAGTCTTGAGATACAGCTGCCATCCCGTGGGCAAGCCACATTAGCCTATACTAGCAAAACTACTTGGAGAGACACTTGTGACAATACCTGCTGATGGCCCAGTCTGCTCCCAGCATGTGTGGAGAGGCCTGGAACCCAGCCTAGGGATCTTCTTGACAGAGACCCCACAGACTTACTGGATCCCTTACCCCGTGTACAAGGGTGTTTTGTGCCACTAAGTTTGGGTTTTCTGTGAGCAAGACCTTGAGTGATAGTCTAAGAAATATGAATGAGTGAGGTTTTTACTGGTGACAATTACTAGGACTCACAGGTTAGTAAACCGTCTTTGGGGTGGGTGCAGATCAGTGGCAGAGCATATGCTAAGCTTTCCCAAGGTCCAAAAAAGGAAAAAGGAAGACTAAGAAAAAGGCAGTGTCTTATTGATCCATGTGTTACAGATGGCTGATGTCCATGAAAATGTTTTATAAGTGGATCAAAAGAAAAATGTGTCTTTCTTAGCAGCTAAGAGTGGTGGCTGAGAAATCAGCCATGTTACTGCGAGGTGGAAGCTTCTAGGAGACAGACCGGCTTCCTGTCACTTTTTACTCCCTTCCCATGCTGTATTCTACACCCAGCCACTAAGTGGAACCTTAATGACCCTCACAGTGAGAAGCTGGGAAGGAGGCGAGGGCCGGTCTGAGAAAGGTCACTGGAAAGAAGTAAGAGGGCCCTGGGAAGGGATGTGGTCCTGTTCTCAGGCATGTTTCCACTTAGAAGTTCTGGAAGGCACATGGAGTTTAAAGCCCTCTGAGTGGCCCTGACCCCTTGTCTCCCAGTACCCAGCTCGGGTAGAAGGGCCCAGGACTCGTGACGCCCGCATCCCCTCACCCTCAGCTCTCATACCATGATGCAGGCGTGGGCCTTGTGGTAGTAGGAGGCATGCATGCTCTGGAACCGCTCCTGCCCTGCTGTATCCCAAAAATCTGCAAGGTAAACACAGCTCCGTCTGATGGGATGGGAGGGCAGGAAAACCCACACATCCCCAACATGTCTCTGGGTAGAAACATGACACACGTGTGGGGCCAACCGCAACGTGTGTGAGAACATGGAGAGCCTGGGGAGGGGCGGCCACCGCACAGCTCCACGCTGCCATTAGGGCAGCACGCCCCGGGTGGGCTGTGAGAAGTGTGTGTACACTGGTGTGTGGGGGCGCAGGGCCAAGGACCAAGGGAGGGGTAGGTAGTCTGCACTATGTCCAGGGAAGTCCTAGAGGTGGGGGGGGGAGGAAGAGGAGGGGGAAGGAGGGGGAGAGGACGGGGAGGTGCTCCTCATCCTCACAATCAAGATGGGCTAAATTTCCATGTGCAGTGATCACAGACTGGACAGCCAGGCAGGATAGGGTGGCCTGGCCAAAGAAAAAGTTGTAACTTCATGGAAGGTCAAGTCCTGAACAGGAGATCATGTTCAGGCCATAACTGTCTAGTCAAAAGTTTGTGTGCTAGCCGGGCGCCGGTGGCTCACGCCTGTAATCCTAGATACTCAGGAGGCTGAGATCTGAGGATCATGGTTCAAACCCAGCTCGGGCAGGAAAGTCTGAGACTCTTATCTCCAATAAACCACTCAGAAAACTGGAAGTGGTGTTGTGATTCAAATGGTAGAGTGCTCGCCTTGAGCTGAGGGACAGCGCCCAGGCCCAGAGTTCAAGCCCCATGACCAACAAAAAAAAAAAAAAAGAAAAGAAAAAAAAAGTCTCCTGGACTTTCCCACCAGGGCTGTCTTCGAATTGTGATCTTCATATCTCAGCCTCCTAGGCAGCTAGGATTTTGACTGGGCGCCAGTAACACCCAGTGTTCAGCTTTATTTTTAAATTATTAAAAGATGTATATTATTATATATCTATTAGTATGGCTTTCAATACCACCCACAGCATACATATCATTTAAGAGACAACAGGCTGTTTATTTGCTACATCTTACTGCAAAGCCATTGTAACTTACTGATGTGGTTCCCCCCATTTTCTTCCCTCTCTTGGCTACCCCCTCTGGTCTTCTCCCTTTCTCTCCCGTGAGGCTCAGCGTGGCCAGGGCCCACGATGCTCACCCACAAGGATGGTCTTTCCATCTACCGTGGCGGTGTGCTTATACAGAGTCAAGGCATATGTGGACAGCTGCTGTGGCTGGCTGCACACAGGTTAAGGACAGAGGTGAGTAAAAGGGAAAAAAGAAACAAGTGGGGTGTTAGTGTGATGAAAGGTGCCCCCCCTTTTTCTGTGGAGATTTGTACAGACAGAGGATCACTCTCTCTCACTGACACCAGCTCCATGAGGTCCAGAGACAGCAGGGGCTGGAGTGTGTCAAGTCTGACCACCTAAACAGGGCACAAAGTTTTCCACAGAAACTGCCATAAGCAGTGGCATCGTGAAGTTGGAAAACAGAACCGGATGTCTCAATTTTTTCATGGACAGAGCTCTTGTAGGCCAAAAAGGAAACACTAATTCCAGGTGGCAACATGACTATTCCATGGGGAAAAAAAGCTCTCCCAAGCCAGGCATCTGACAAGCTGTTTATAAACTGAAGCTGCCTATGTGTGAAGTCTAGCAGAAAACCTAGAGAATGGCACCTCTTGATGGAGGTGCTAGATGGCCCAAGTAGCAAAGCTGAGACCATACAGGTGGGCTGGGTCACAGTAACACGCCGTACAAGGTAGAACAAAATATACTCAGATCCCAGTATGACTCACATCAGTCTTGTGGAGCCAAGGCAGGGAGCACACAGGTTCTAGGGCCCTCTTCACCTGTAGTTCTCAATGGATCTACCTAGCAATGTTTCCGTTTAATTTATTATTGGCTGGGTATTTTGAGGATAGGGCTTTGTGAACTTTTCTGGCCAAGCTGTCCTTGAACCCTTCCCCTCAGCCTCCAGACTATATAGGATTACAGGTGTAAGCCACTGGAGCCTGGCCTGAGCAGCTTTGTAAAAAGCTCCTAGTTGCAGGGAAGGCCTTGCTCTAAAGCTGCACAATGGGACAAGTTACAGGAGGAGGGATCAGCTGGTACTTGTATTGTACACAATGCATCTGTAACAGAGACATTAAGCAAAATTAAGAATCCATGTTTTGAGGTAAGAAATTAAGTGCCTTATCCAAGGCCAGAGTTACTAAGGAGGCATAGCTTCATTTCCAACATTTGATCCAGACCAAATGCTCCATACCATTCTTCTGGTCTTTCTAATATAAAAGAGACCCTAAACATGAGTAAGCTCTAGCACAGTCAGCAGGGATTATGTGATGTGTGGGTCAATGAGGGAGAAGGTAATGTGAAGGGAAACCCATGTGTCATTACCCATCAAATCTCCCTGGGCTGCTATTGGAAAAGGTAAGGTGGAGATGAGAGGCACCATAGTTGGAAGAACACAGGAACAGGGGTTTCAACTCTTGAAGGATACAATCCATCCATGAGAAATCTCTCCATGAGTCTGTAAGGGGAAGGTTCAAAGTGGAAGGTCACATGGCATCCTAATCTCCTCCTTACTCCTACTTTATCAACTCCATGCTGATAATCTGGAAGACACCTGCGGTTCCCCCTCTCCCATTAACTTTCAGTCACACAGTTTTTAGGTTAAGCCTAAAATTTGGGAATCTCTATTGTCAACCCCTCATCGCAAACTACTTATGTTACTATGGATGCATAGATCAATGCATATGAGGCTCTCAGATTCATTGTTTCTACTTCAGCACATTACTGCCCATCATACAATTATCCTCATTCTATACTCGAGGAGGCTGAGTTCAGGAAGGCTGCACCCTTCACTCCAAAGACCCTTCCCCAAGATTCTGTAGGTCCTTAGAGGTTTTGTGTAAATGTCACCTGAACAGTAAGCTCATCTCTGGCGACTCTACTTATCATAGTTATAATAAATAATAAATACAAATAAAGAAATAATACGCCTTCTACTCCCCATCCCTCTCTGCTTTGCACTTAACACCAACTGAAATAGCAGGTAACTTTATTCTGTCTGTCTCAGAATGTAATATACACGAGAGTAGTTTATGAATCCAAGTTTGTTGCTATATCCCCAAAGACTAGGGCAGCACAAAGGTACAGTGGTACCCAGTCCGTACTTGAACACATGAATGTGAGCTTAACTTATTTCATATCTCTGAACCCAAGGTTAGACCTGTCTTCCACATCCACTAACGCCCAATTAGACCATATAGTAAATCTCAAAAAATAACCACCCTCTCCCAAATACTCTCTGAGCAAAATATAATTAAGTTGTAAATAAAAACCGAAACCAATTTTAATGTCTTCATTATTTTATTTATGTATTTATTTATGCCAGTCCTGTGGCTAAACTCAGGGTCTGAGCACTGTCCCTGAACCTCTCTGTGTTGCAGGGTAGCACTCTACTACTTGAACCACAGGGCTCCTTCCAGCTTTTTCTGTTTATGTGGTATTGAAGAATTGAACCCGGGGCTTCATACATGCTAGGCAAGCACTCTCACTAAGCCACATTCCCAGCCCATCCTTATACTTTAAAGTTAAATGACTATCAAACATTTTAAGCTACTTATAAACTAGTCTGATACTTGCTAGGCAGGCACTCTACCACTTGAGCCACATCTTCAGCCCCTTTTTACTTTTTTTTTTTCTTGCTGGTTCTGGGGCTTGAACTTGGCTTGGGCTCTGTCTCAGCCTATTTGTGCTTAAAGTTAGAGCTCTACCACATAAACCACAGCACCACTTTAGTTTATTGGTGCTAGGAGTCATGGAGTTTTCTGCCCGGGCTGGTTTTGAACTGTGATCCTCAGATTTCAGACTCCTGAGTAGCTAGGATTAGAGGCATGAGCCACTGGTTATTTATTTATTTTTGTCGGTCGTGGGGCTTGAACTCTGGGGCTGGGTGCTATCCCTGCGCTCTTCAGCTTAAGGCGAGCGCTCTACCTCTTGAGCCACAGTGCCACTTCCGGTTTTCTAGTTTATTCCGGTTTTCTAGCTTTATTGGAGATAAGAGTCTCATGGACTTTCCTGCCCGGGCTGGCTTTGAACCGCGGTCCTTAGATCTCAGCCTCAGGAGTAGCTAGGACTACAGGTGTGAGCCACCAGTGCCCGGCCCACTGGTTATTTTTGAGGTAAGGTCTTGCTTTATACATGAGCCAGCCTGACCTGTGACCTTCTTACCTGAGCTTCCCAGTGTGGCTGGGGATGACAGGAGAGTCTTTACACCCAGCTACTGTGCTCCCCCCTAGCTAGGATAACAAGTGCTCACAACTATGCCCAGCCATTGGCTGAAATGGAGTCCTGAGACTTTTATGCCTAGAATTTTATAGCCTAGAATTGAGCTCCAAGTAGTTAAAATTACAGACTTGAGCCATTATGCCTGGCATGTATAAGAAACATTAAAGGAGGTCTGGGAAGGTGGCTCAGTGGTAGAGCGCTTGCCTCACATGCATGAGGCCCTGGGTTCTATTCCTCAGCACCACATAAGCAGCAAAAGCTGGAAGTGGTGTTGTGATCCAAGTGGTAGAGCGCTAGCCTTGAGCTGAAGAGCTGAGGGACAGCGCCCAGGCCCAGAGTTCAAGCCCCATGACGGAAGAAAAGACAAAAAACAAAACAAAAAAAAATGCAATAAAAAAATTGGCTCTTGGACCCTACGTTGAAAATGAACTTCACAACTTCGGGGGGTGGGGGGGGCAAGGTGGGAGGAGTAGTGGAGGTGGGGAGGGAAGGGATGATAGGGGAAAAACAAAGGAGGAGATAACAATGCTCAATAGGAAATATACTCATTACCTTACTCATGTAACTGTAACCCCTCTGTACAGCATTCTTACAATAAAAAATATATACAAAAAAACTGGCTCTTAAAATATATCCACAAAGTTGAAAAACCTGTAGCTAGACTAGGAAAAAAGAGAGAGATGAGAAATTCTTTATCAGGATAAAGGCTATATATGAAAAACAGGTAACATCACACTCAATAGTAAAAAAATAAGAGTTTTCTCCTAAGACCAGGAGCAAGGCAAGGATGCCCCCTTCCACCATTTCTAGTGTGTATTGTACTAGAAACGCTACTCAGAGAACCTACACGAGAAGAAAATAATAGGCATCCAAACGAAAAGGAAGAGGTAAAATTTAAAATAAATCCACAACTGTTATATGTGATATATTCAGCAACGTTTAAGAATATAAAACCAAGCCAGGCGCCGGTGGCTTACGCCTGTAATCCTAGCTACTCAGGAGGCTGAGATCTGAGGATCGTGGTTCAAAGCCAGCCCAGGCAGGAAAGTCCGTGACTCTTACCTGCAATAAACCACTAGAAAACCGTAAGTGGTGCTGTGGCTCAAGCAGTAGAGTGCTCGCCTTGAGCTGAAGAACACAAGGACAGTGCCCAAGCCCAGAGTTCAAGCCCCATGACAAGAAAAAAAAAAAAAAAAATATATATCTGTATATATACATATATAGATATATACATATAAAACCAACACAGAAAAATCAGTTGCTACACACTAGCATTAACAAAATATGAACATTAAACAAAGTTCCTTTCACAAGTGCATAAAAAAGAATACTTAAGAATAAATATATCCAAGGAGAAATAAAACTTGTAGCACTGAAGACTAAAGTTTTTTTTTTTTTTTTGGGGGGGGGGGGGGGGGTCTGGTCGTGGGGACTGAACTCTGGGCCTGGGTGCTGTCCCTCAGCTCTTTAGCTCAAGGCTAGCGCTCTACCACTTGAGTCACAGTGCCACTTCCGGGTTTTTTCTTTTTTGCGTATGTGGTGCTGAGGAATTGAGCCCAGGGCCTCAGGCATGCAAGGCAAGCGCTCTACCACTGAGCCACCTTCCCAGGCCCTGAAGACTAAAGTTTTTAAGATAGAAATTAAGATCTAAATAAATGGACAGATATCTGTTTCCATGAAACTGAAGACTTAATATTATTAGGTTGATATTACCACCCATAGCAATCTACAGATTCAATGCAGTATATCTTTCAAAATCCTGTAAGATTTTTAAAAATAGAAATAGAGACATTCCAGAATTTATATAGAATTTCAAGGGATCCTAAGTAGCTAAAATAATCATGAAAAAGGACTTATAAGAGACTCATAATTCCCAATTTCAAAACTCACTATGAACCTAGTAACCAAAGCAGTACAGTATTAGAATCTGGAGATCTAGAACATACAGACATAGAAGAATAGAATAGATAGTCCAGAAATGAAATCTCACAAATATGACCAATTGATTTTTGAAAAGAGTACAAAGATCATAAATGTGGAAAAGGATGGTGCTTTGAAAACTGGAAATCAAGCTGGGTGCTGGTGGCTCACGCCTGTAATCCTAGCTACTTAGGAGGCTGAGATCTGAGGATCGCGGTTCAAGGCCAGCCTGGGCAGGAAACTCCGTGAGACTCTCATCTCCAATAAACCACTCAGAAAACTAGAAGTGGCACTGTGGCTCAAGTGGTAGAGTGCTAGCCTTGAGCTGAAGAGCTGTGGGAGAGCACCCAGGCCCAGAGTTCAAGTCCCACGACTGACAAAAAGAGAAAACTGGAAATCAACATGCAAAAGAATGAAGCTGGTGTTGATGAGGTGGTCAAGGCAACTGTAAACTACTAAAGTAGAATTGCAGTATGTGGGTGTAGTTGGGAATGTGAATTCATGAAGATGGTCTCAAAACAGCAAAGCCTATAGAGAACTGTTTACACCTAAGTTCATATAGAAAACGTGGTGGGCCAGGGGCTCACAGGAGACAAGACTAGATCAGACATCAAAGCAAGAACAACTCTACTCTCACTTCATGAAGGTAAAAATGGCTAAGGACTCTACCAGTCCCAGAGGAGAAGTAGGATGCCCCATGGAAATAAGCTACGAGCACTGCATACCCTTAACCTCATACCACATTAAAAATGAACAGGCTGGGGGCCAGTGGCCTGTAATCCTAGCTACTCAGGGGGCTGAGAAGTGAGGATTGTGGTTGGAAGCCAGCCTAGACAGAAAAGCCCATGAGACTCTTATCTCCAATTAACTACTTAAAAACTGGAAGTGACACTGTGGCTCAAAGTGGTAGAGTGCTAGCCTTGAGCAAAAAGAACTCAGGGCCTGCACCTAGGACTTGAGTTCAAGCCCCATTACAGACAAAAAAATTAATTAATTAACTGAAACTCAGAAGTAGAGTTGTGGCTAAAGTGGCAAGGTGTTGGCCTTGAGCAAAAAGACCCTCAGGGACAGTTGCCAGGCCCATAGACCAGTGGGTGCACTGTGTGCGCACATATGCATGCGCATACACATGCACACAAGCACACACACACACAATTAAAATTGGTCAGAGACCTAAACATGAGAGTTAAAAGTATGAAACTCTTGGATGAAAATTAGAGAGTGAAAAATCTTCATGACCTTGGATTTGGAAGTATTTCTTAAATATGATATTAAAAGCACAAGAAATCAGAGAATAAGGTATGGTAAGCATAATTAAAATTAAAAAGTCCTTTGTCAACCAAGGAAGTGATAAGACAACTTATAGAATAGGAAAATATATGCAAACCATATATACCTGAAGAGTTTAGTAAGTAGAACACAACGATCTACAATAAAAAACTCCAAAACAGCCAGGCACCAGTGGCTTGTAAACCTAGCTACTCAGGAGGCTGAGATCTGAGGATTGCAGTTCAAAGCCACCCTGGGCAGGAAAGTCTGTGAGACTCTTATTTCCAATCAACTACCAGAAAACTGCAAGTGGTGCTGTGGCCTTGAGCTGAAGAGCCCAGGGACAGCACCCAGGCCCAGAGTTCAAGACCCACAACTGACAAAACAACAACAACAACAACAAACCTCCCAAACAATCTTATTTAAACATGGATAAAGGATGTAAGTAAACATTTGTCTGAAGAAAACATACAAATGACAAAAAGCACATGAAAAGATGAGGCAACATCATCAGATCTGAGGAAAATGCAAATCAAAACTATAATCAGACACTATGCCCATTGGAATGGCTAGTATCACAAAAAATGGTAAGAGGTTGTAGAGAATTTGGAACCTCTGTGCACTGTTGGTGGGAATGTAAAATGCTGCAATTACTGTGGAAAACAGTTTGGTGGTTCTTTTTTTTTTTTTTTTTTGGGTCTGGTCGTGGGGCCTGAACTCTGGGCCTGGGCGCTGTCCCTCAGATCTTCAACTCAAGGCTAGTGCTCTACCACTTGAGCCACAGCGCCACTTCTGGCTTTTTTCTTTATGCTTATGTGGTGCTGAGGAATCGAACCCAGGGCCTCAGGCATGCAAGGCAAGCGCTCTACCACTGAGCCACCTTCCCAGCCCCAGTTTGGTGGTTCTTCATGAAGTAAAACAGAATCACCATGCTGCCTGCATTTTACTCCTAGATATATAGTCCTTAAATTAATGGACAGAAAGTTGTGCACCAGTATTCATAGCAGAACTATTTATAATAGCTTGTGCATCTGTCATTAACAAAGGTAATATTTTCTCCAGAAGGCAGTGCCCAGGTCAGAGGATTCCTGCATATAGAAGTGGGAACCAAGCCGGGCGCTGGTGGCTCACGCCTGTAATCGTAGCTACTCAGGAGGCTGAGATCTGAGGATCAAAATTCAAAGCCAGCCGGGGCAGGAAAGTCCATGAGACTCTTATCTCCAATAAACCACTTAAGTGGTGCTATGGCTCAAGCTGTAGAGCGCTCGCCTTGAGCGAAGAGCACAGGGACAGCGCCCAGGCCCAGAGTTCAAGCCCCACGACCAACCCAAAAAAAGAAAAGAAAAGAAAAGAGCTGGGAATAATCACTGCGGGGTGCCAGTGGCTCACTCCTGTAATCCTAGCTACTCAGGAGTCTCAGATCTGAGGATCACAGTTCAAAGCCAGCCCGGGCAGAAAAGTCTGTGAGACTCTGATCTTCAATAAACCACTAAAAAACCAGAGGTGGCGCTGTGGCTCAAGAGGTAGAGCGCTTGCCTTGAGCTGAAGAGCACAGGGACAGCACCCAAGCCCAGAGTTCAAGCCCTATGACTGACAAAAAAACACAAAACAAAAGAAGTGGGACCATATTTGTGCCTACCCTCAGTGGAGGTCTGGGATGCTTATAGTAGTCAACCAGGATGAATGTACCCTGGAGAAAACGGCACTTCAAAGAAGACCTGGTGATCTGGACTCCTACTAATGTGAAGTCACTGCAAGAAGGCAGCATGACTTCCACATTTCTCTGGACCTGAGGTTGTGCAGAGATAGTGCTCTCCAAATCAATGCACATAGGTGTATTGGGAGTTCTTAGTCTCCCAACAGAGTGTAGATGTACAAGTTAGAGATACTGAAATATAACAGAATTCTAGACTTTCAATAAAACTGAACCAAGAATTTCTCATCTGTCCATCTTCTTTCAGATCTACTGTTTCCACCATAGGTTCTGTGTGTGAAACTGCTGTCTGAGGTATTGCTAAGGGCTGGTGACCAGCTTTTCTTTCTTTTTTTTTTTTGGATCTGGTCGTGGGCCTGAACTCTGGGCCTGGGCGCCGTCCCTCAGCTCTTCAGCTCAAGGCTAGCGCTCTACCACTTGAGCTACAGCGCCACTTCGGGCTTTTTTTTTCTGCTTATGTGGTGCTGAGGAATCGAATCCAGGGCCTCATGCATGCAAGGCAAGTGCTCTACCACTGAGCCACCTTCCCAGCCCCTAGTTTTTCTTCAAATGTCCTGGGTGCCAATGCTGGATAATCTTTGATGTCCTATTAATGACTTAAGATTTTTATTTTTTGTTATCCCGTCACTTGACTTATCCCTGCACTGACTTAGCAGGCAGGCCCCGTGGGTCTCTCTATAAGCTTCATTCCCCAAAACGTCTATCAGTTATTAGGCCACAATACGCTCCCTATCTGCCTGCCACTTGTGTGCTCTGTGTTAGTCTCTCCCAGTGGGGACAGAGGAGTTATTTATTGGGTAATCTTCCCAAATTGAAACACTCATCCTTACTTTTATTTTTTTGCAATGGTCTTAGAGCTTGAACTCAGGACCTGGGTGCTGTCTCTGAGCCTGAGTCTTTTTGCTAAAGGCTAGCACTGTAACACTTCAGCCATAGCTCCATTTCTAATTCTTTGGAAGTTCACTGAAAAAAAGAGCCTCGTGAACTTTCCTGCCTGGGCTGGCTTGGAGCAGGGATACTCAGCTCTCAGCCTCTTGAATAGCTAGGATTACAAGGCAAGCGCTACCAGCACCTGGCCATCCTCACTTTTATTGGGTAGAATGTTTATAAGTTCAAGGCAACTGTAAATACAAAAGTAGACCTGCAAATGTGAGTGTAGTAGGGGAAAAAGACTCAAACTGCAAAGTCTCAAAAACTGGGGGAGAGTGAAGGAAGGGGCAACATTGTCCAAAAAGAAAAAAGTTCTCATTATCTGACTTATAAAACCTTAACCCCTCTGTATATCACCTTTATAATAAAATAAAAAACATTAAAAAAACAACCTGCAAAGCCTCTGGAGAGCTACTTATAGCTACCTGAGCACAAAGCAGAAAATGTGGGGGCCAGGAGTTTATAGAAGATTAGGCTAACATTAAGGCAGGAACAATCTACTCTCATTTCATGAGTAGAAATGGGCAGGCACCCATACTAGTCCCAGAGAAGTAGGATGCCTCGTGGAGATAAGCTGTGAACACAGCACAACCTTGCTTTACCTTCCCCCGTGGAGAGTTCTGCACCTGGTCTGACAGAATAAGCCACATGGCCAAAACCATTTTTACCACCATTATTCAACCTGTCACTTTTCCCTTTCCCTTTCCACTGTACCAGCCCTTCAGCCCATGTGCCACATAAAGGAATATTCCAATTCTTACCTCCTCATTTTGTACTCCACGGCTTCTGTCAGGACTCAAGGAAAATGTTCTAATTCCTTAGTCCTTGAGTCCTACCCCACCCCTTCTCAATACCCACAATTCCTGATGTGATCCTTTCATGTACAGCTATGCTCCGCCAACACTCCTCCCTCGCCAGCCCATAGACTCCACCACTCTTTGAAGACTCTGGAGGACTTTTCTAAGAAAAGTGGGTGGTCTTCCCTAATCTTTCAACATACTTGGACTTGCCCACCGCGCTGTCTCCCAAGCAGATGATCTTCACACTGTCATCAGCATCGTATTTCTCTTGGTCCAGTTCACAGCGTTTGGTTCTGTCCCCTGCCATTGGGTCTGGGTTTTAGGCAAGATTCCAGCCAGGGGTCTTGTCACTATCTACGAAGGTCAATGAGAAGCTATTGTTAGAGATGTGAAGTCCCTTTAATACAATCTGTTTGTTGTTCCTCCTGGACTGATGAGAAAGGGGTGTGAAGGACATACATTCTTCTCCATTCACCACCAACTTGGTCACCTTATATTGAGCTTCTAGGCTATAACCCTATGTCCATAAGATTCTCCTAGGTCATTTTTTTTTTTCAGACCTGGGGCTTGAACTCAGGGCCTCCGCACTGTCCCTGAGCTTCATTTGCTCAAGGCTAGCACTCTATCGCTCGAGCCCCACTGCCACTTCTGGCCTTTTCTGTTATATGGTACTGAGGAATTAAACCCAGGGATTCATGCATGCTAGACAAGCACTCTACCACTAGGCCACATTCCAGCCCTCTCCTAGGTCATTTCTTTGCTCTAGGTATGCTCAGGCCACTCCCACCTGCTCCCATCTGCTGTACTACAGGGTTTTGTGTGTTTCTCTGTGTGTGTGTGTGGTTTTTGGTGTTGGCACCAGGGCTTGAACTCAAGGCCTTTCACGTTCCCTGAACTTTTTCCCTATGGCTGATGCTCTAACATTTAAATCACACCTCCAGTTTGACATTTTTTTTCTGGTTAATTGGATATGAGGGTCTCTCAAACTTTTCTAAATGGGCCAGCTATAAACCATAATCCTTGATCTCAGCCTCCTGAGTAGCTAGGTTTGCAGGCATGAGCCACTGGTGCTGGTTTAGTTTCTTTACATTCTTTTTTTGGGGGGGGTCTGGTTGTGGGGCCTGAACTCTGGGCCTGGGTGCTGTCCCTCAGCTCTTTAGCTCAAGGCTAGTGCTCTACCACTTGAGCCACAGCGCCACTTCGGTCTTTTTTTCTTTTTGCTTATGTGGTGCTGAGGAATCAAACCCAGGGGCCTCATGCATGCAAGGCAAGTGCTCTACCACTAAGCCACCTTCCCAGCCCCTTTTCTTTACATTCTTTAAACATAAATTCAACACACATTTTCTCACTTGTAAAACTTTAACAAAAAACAGTGTCCATATCACATATCAAGTGTGAGACGCCTGTCTGGCAGTAACAGCCTCCGCTCTGATCACTGAATGGCATGGGTCACAGAGTCTAAGATGCCTAACTTATATTCTGGAAGATCTTCCCTCGCTTCAATCAGCAGGTGTCTTTCCTTCCAGGTGGGTATTCCTCAAGCCTCTCCTGCAGAGAATATTTTAAAACCTCTAGTAGTTTTAGGCATCTCCTAAATGTTGAAACACTAAAGACACCTACATCCAGAGGTTTGTAAATTGCACACAAGCGCAAGTTACGTTAAACACAAAGTTTAGTCCTGCTCACTCCAAAGGCTGTTCCTCATTCCTATCTGTGCAAAACGCACTGCCACTCAGGGCCGACACCCATACCAGCCTACAGAATCCACCCGGCGTGCAACTTCGTCTCTCGCCTATTCTGCTCTATCCATGTGCACATTTGATTCTGCAAACATTCTTGGCAACGTTCTACGGCCAGGTTCTGAGGTGGCGGGCGGCAGGGACAGGCTGCCGTCGGCCCTGGTGGGGCTCGTTCGTCCCCGGGGCGCACGCTCCGGGCTTACACGCTGCGGTCCTGACCCAGCCCGAAGGGCCCGGGGCCCCCGGCTGTGCGCGCACGGAGCCCAGCTCACCGCGGAGCTCAGGTTCCAGCTCCGGGCTGCGGGGAGGCGCTCGTCTGCTGGGCCGGCCGGCGGTCCGTCAGAAAGCCGCCCCGGCCCCCTCCACCCTCCAAGACCCTCGCCGGCCGCGAGATCCGGGGACAGACTGCCCGCGACCGGCCTTTCCGCGAACTCACCCGCCAGCGCCGCCTCCCGCACCGTGCGCAAACGCGCGCAAGCCCACGACCCTTCCGGTCGCGGCCTTCCCGGGCCGGGGCCCTGCGCGGTTCCGACGGGCCGGCCGGTAGGGTGGGCCGCTCGCCGCCTCCCCGGCCTCCCGGCGGCTTCGTCCTCGCGTGCGCTTTCTCGAGGGCTGGACGGACCGGGGACACCGCAGACACTCCCGCCCGCGGCGGGCCGACCTCGGACCCGGACGGCCAGCGGGCCCCACGCGGCGAGCCACCTGGCTTCCGGCCGGGCCGCGTCCCGCGGCTGCTACGCGACCGCCCCAGGACCCCGGTAGAGCTGTCCACTCGAGAGCCCGCAGGACCCCGCCGCGCGCGGGCTGGCTAGCGCGGTGCCTGAAGACAGCCGGGCTCAGGCGAGTCAGCGGCCGGAGGGCGCGGCGGCTGCGCCGTGGCCGGGCGCGGGGGGGCTCGGGCCGGGCGGGCGGGCGGGCGGGGCGCCGGCTGCGGGGGCTGGTGGCCAGTGGGTGGCCACGCCTTGGGCTGCGTTCACGGGGTGAGTGTGCGCAAAGCCCCGAGGGCACAGGAGTTAGGACGGCTGGAGGCCCCGTCGCCCCCGAGGGGCGGGTGGGGCGGCGGGGAGGCTCGGGAGGAGGCCGGAGGCGCCGGGGGCCACGGGCTGCGCGCGCTTGGGCCCCGAAGCCCCGCGCACCGGAAGGAGCGAGGCCGGCGGCGGCTGCCGCGGGGAGCCGCCTCCCCGGGTCCCGCTGTGCCCAGGCGAGCGCTTGGCGTCCGGGAGGGCCCGCCGAGCTCGGCAGCCCGCGGCCGCGGCCCCGCCAGCGCATGCAGGTGCAGCGCAGGTCCGCACTGCCCGGCCGCGAGCCCGCGCTGGGCCGACCTCCTGGGAGTCCTCCTGCTGGGTGGTCACGGTGGGCCCTCCGCTGCCCCCGAGAAAAGCAGGACACGGCCTGGACACACGCCTGCCCTGGACACTCGTCTGCAGTCCCATCCCGGCTGCCTGCCCTGCCCGCTGTCCTGCCTCTGCTTCTTCCATAGCATAGCAGGATGACAGGCCCAGCCCACTGTCCTGGTCTGCTTCTTCCGTAGCATAGCAGGATGACAGGCCCAGCCCGCCGGCCTGTCTCTGCTTCTTCCATAGCATAGCAGGATGACAGGCCCAGCCCGCCGGCCTGTCTCTGCTTCTTCCATAGCATAGCAGGATGACAGGCCCAGCCCGCCGGCCTGTCTCTGCTTCTTCCGTAGCATAGCAGGATGACAGGCCCAGCCCACTGTCCTGTCTCTGCTTCTTCCGTAGCATAGCAGGATGACAGGCCCAGCCCGCTGTCCTGGTCTGCTTCTTGGGGGACGACAGGCTTGCACCCCCCTCCTGGTCAAGTGTGGGTAAGGGGCTCTCACTGTTTTTGTAGATTGGCTTTGAAACATGATCTGACGCTCAAATTATTGGTCACCCTTTGTATGTTGAATTCTCTCTTTTCTTTCTTTCTTTCTTTTGTTTTTTTGTTCTTTCTTTTTTTTTTGTCAGTTGTGGGCCTGAACTCTGGGCCTGGGCGCTGTCCCTCAGCTCTTCAGTTCAAGGTGAGTGCTCTACCACTTGAGCTACAGCGCCACTTCCTGTTTTCTGGTGGTTTATTGGAGATAAGAGTTTGATGGACTTTCCTGCCCAGGCTGGCTTTGAACCACAATCCTCAGATCTCAGCCTCCTGAGTAGCTAGGATTATAGGCATGAGTTGCCATCGCCCAGCTTGCTTTCATTGTTTTTAGAATAGTATCTTGCTTTGTGCCAGACTGGCCTGGAACAGAGTTCTCCTATTTATGAAAACAGGCATTGACATGCCCAGGTTTTATTGTTTGAGATGTGGTCTTGCAGACCTTGCCTAGGCTGGCCTAGAACCATGATCCTCCTGATCACCTCCCAAATGGCTAGAATTACAGGCCTAAGCAACTGTACTTGGCCTGTTTGTTGTTGTTGGTGGTAGTAGTGGGGCTTGAACTCTGGGCCTGGGTGCTGTCCCTTAGCTCTTCAGCTCAAGGTGAGTGCTCTACAACTTGAACCTCAGTGCCACTTCCAATTTTCTGGTGGTTAATTGGAGATAAAGAGTATTGTGAGCTGGGCGCTGGTGGCTCACGCCTGTAATCCTAGCTACTCAGGAGGCTGAGATCTGAGGATCGTGGTTCAAAGCCAGCCCGGGCAGGAGAGACCGTGAGACTCCTATCTCCAATAAACCACCAGAAAACCGGAAGTGGTGCTGTAGCTCAAGTGGTAGAGCGCTCGCCTTGAGCTGAAGAGCTGAGGGACAGCGCCCAGGCCCAGAGTTCAAGTCCCACGACCGACAAAAAAAAAAAAAAAAAAGTATTGTGGACTATCCTTCCTGGGCTGGCTTTGAACAGTGATCCTCAGGTCTCAGCCTCCTTAGTAGCTAGGATGACAGGCATGAACCACTGGCCCCTGGCTCACTTGGGGTTTAAAAAAAATTGTTTTTGACTCTGACATGTCTGTGATGACATTATGGTTTTAATTGGTATTTTTCCAATGACTAATGATGATGAATGTATTCATTTCTTTTTTCGGTTATGGGGCTTGAACTCAGGGCCTGGGCATTGTCCCTGAGCTCTTTTGCTCAAGGCTAGTGCCACAGTGCCACTTCCATTTTTTTTTAGTGGTTAATTGGAGATAAGAGTCTCACAGGGACTTTTCTGGCCGGGCTGGCTTTGAACTGTGATCCTCAGATCTCAGCTTCCTGAGTAGCTAGAATTATAGGCATGAGCGCCAGTACCTAGTTTTGAATGTACTTTTTTTTTGGTCCGGTAGTGGGGCCCGAACTCTGGGCCTGGGCGCTGTCCCTCAGCTCTTCAGCTCAAGGCTAGAACTCTACCACTTGAGCCACAGTGCCACTTCTGGCTTTTTTCTTTTTGCTTATGTAGTGCTGAGGAATCGAACCCAGGGCCTCATGCATGCAAGGCAAACGCTCTACCACTGAGCCATCTTCCCAGCCCCTGTTCATACCTTTTGTCAGTTTTCTGATGATGCTTTTATTGTAATTAGTCTTTTCTCAAATATATGGCTTGAAAACATTATTCTCCCAGTTTGTAGCTTGTCTTTGTAGAAGAATAGCTTTTAAGAAAATTTTGATGAAATTCTAATATTGACTTTTTTTTTATATGGGACACTTTACATAGTCTAGGGTTTTCCTTTTGTGGAAGGTAAGACATTTAGCTTGAGCCAGTTGTTCACTTGTTCCTAATACCATTTGTTGAATGGTTAGTTATTGTTGAATACTTAGTTCAGTCGCTTTTATTCCTTTGTCAAAGTCAAGTAGGCTGTCTTGTCTGAGTATTTTGGGGTCTCTGTTCAACTGGATTGCTGTAAAGGTTCAGGAGAGCCCCATGTGAAAAAAGAGAAAAGTGTGTTCTCCCCACACCCCCTATCCCCATCCCCATCTCTGCTGGGATCTGCCAAACCTGACGGTGGCATTCACGGAGAATCTGGGATGCAGGTGAGTGGCATGCAATACTCCAAGTGACGGTCCCTAGCAGGTCTCTGCGGAAGTTCCTAGCCTGCTTCTCCCAATCATTTCGCCAGTTCTAGCGGCAGAAGAGCTTGCTGACTGACCCTCACCAGGCCCTGCATTAGAACTCACTCCTAGCTAGGCAGGCAGGGCAGCAGGCGGGCAGTGAAGCGACCTCGACAAATCTTGCTTTGGAGAACATAGACCCCAGCGCAGGTCTTGCATAGGGCATGGAGGCTAGGATGGAGGGGATGTGTGGGAATGTTTTTTCCAGATGCCAGTGTCTTATGCCTGTAACCCTAGCTATTCAAGAGGCCAAGATATGAGGATTGCAGTTCAAACCCACTTCAGGTAGGAAAGCCCTTGAGGCTCTTTATCTCCAATGCTCACACACACACAAAAATATCCTAGAAGTAGAGCTGTGGCTCAAGGGGTAGAGCACTAGCTTGAACAAAAACAGCCCAGGGAGAGTGCCCAGGCCCTGAGTTCAAGCCCCAGGACCAGCATTAAAAGATTTTTTGGGGCTGGAAATGTGGCTTAGTGGTAGAGTGCGTGCCTAGTATGCATGAAACCCTGGGTTTGATTCCTCATTCCTATATACACAGAAAAAGCCAGAAGTGGCACCATGACTGAAGTGGTAGAGTACTAGTCTTGAGCAAAAGAAGCTCAGGGACAGTGCCCAGGCCCTGAGTTCAAGCCCTAGGACTGGCAAAAAATAATATATATGTGTGTGTGTGTGTGTGTATATATATATATATATATATATATATATATATATATACACATACGTATGTATGTATGTGTATATTTTTATATATCTGTCTATAGATCTATATCTGAGCTGCCTTCAGTTCCCTTTTCTGCTTTGTCAGTGTGGGGGCCTGCATTTAGGCCTGTGAGAGTTGTCTCATCTTTTCACACAAGGCGAGCGTCTACCACTTTGAGCCACAGTGTCACTTCTGGTTTTCTGGTGGTTAATTAGGGTTAAGAGTCTCATGACTGCCTTTGAACCACAATCCTCAGATCTCAGCCTCCTGAGTTGCTAGGATTATAGGCTTGAGCCACCAGTGCCCAGAATGCCTTCAGTTCTTTTCAGGGCATACACAGGAGTAGAATATCTGTTTGTCTCTGTCTGTCTGTCTGTCTGTCTGTCTGTCTGTCCGTCTGTCCGTCCATCCGTCTCTGCCTGTCTGCCTGCCTGCCTGGTCATCTGCCTTTATCTATCTATATCATCAGTCATAGCACTGTATGTGGTCACACCCCCATCTTAAGTGCATAAGGCTTCTCAGTTTCCCATATTTGTGCCAACACTTTTTTTTTTATTATGAAAATACCGTACAGAGGAGTTAGAATTACATGGGCAAGATAATGAGTACATTTCTTATCAAGCATTGTTGCCTCCTCCTTTGTTTCCCCTTCCCATCCCTTCCCATCTCTCCTCCCCCCCCCCCCCCCGGCCCATTCCCCATATCCTCCCACCTCCCCCCCCAACACTTTTTTTTGTGCCCATGTTGGGACTTGAACTCAGGGCCTGGATGTTATCCTGAGCTTTTTTGCTTAAGGATAGTGCTATAGCAATTGAGCCACATATGTACTTCTGGCTTGGAGGTCAATTGATGATAAGATTCTCAGGAACTTTTGTGTCTGGGTTGGCTTTGAACTGTGATCCTCAGATTTCCTGAGTTGCTAGGATTACAGGTGTGAGGCTCTGGCATCCTTCATGTGCCAACACTTTTATTTTTTTCCAGTCATGGCTCTTGAACTCTGGGCCTGGGCACTTTCCCTCAGCTCTTTAGCTCAAGGCGAGCACTCTACCACTTGGGCAATAGCACCACTTCTGGTTTTCTGGTGGTTTATTAGATATAAGAGTCTCATGGACTTTTCCTGCTTGGGTTGGCTTTGAACTGTGATCCTCATATCTCAGCCTCCTGAGTAGCTAGAATTATAGGTGTGAGCTACCTGCACCCAGCCCAACACTTCTTTTTTTCATGATAGCAAAGAAAGTTTATGATATGAAGTCTGCTTATAGCCTTTCTCAAGATTGATAGCAGGTAGTCCCTTTGCTCTTGCTCTTCCAATCTTTTGTTTTTTTTTTGGTGTGATTTTCTCGTGCTTGGTGTAGCTTGTATCTTCTTGTTTATAGGTTGAGTTTCTTGCATGCTTCTTTTCTTGTCCTTCATTAGCTCAGAAATTTTCATGCCATTACTTCCTTTACTGTTTCTTGACCCTTTCCCTCTCTTCTCCCAGTGTTCCTGCATTGCTATGTTGCCCTGGTTGATGGTGTCCCACAGGTCATTCAACTGATTACTTTTCTGAAATACTTTTGTCTGTTCTTCAACTTTGTGATTCCTGTTTGTTTATTGGTTGTTTCTATAGTTTGCTGAAATATGCCTTTGAATTTCTGCAGTGTTTGTTAGTATTTCAGTTGTTGCCCTTTTTATTTCTATAATTGTCACTTATTTTTATGTTCTGTCTCTTTACTGATATTTATAATTTACTCATGTTTAATTTTCCCCTTATCCACAGTTAATTTTTCACAATTTTTTCTCTGTGGTCTATTGCAGTGAAGATATAATACATAGAATATTCTAGAAACATGCAATTCATAAATTTTAAATAACTTATGATGGCATGTTATTGTGGTTGTCTTTTAAAAAGTGTTAGTAGTTGTTGCTATTCCTTACTGTACCTAATTTCTATGTTGAATTCTGTAATAGGTATATTTGTTTAGAGGAGAACGTAGGTAGGTACAGTTACACTAAATAGTCCCCAGTCAATGGAAAGAAAAGCTTCTGTAGGAGGAAACTTGAATTACAGCAGACAAAAAAGTCATCTGGTCACAAAAGAGGAAAGGAATCCATTTATTTTTCATAATATTCTGAAATATATTTTAAACTCAGGGAGAGTTTAAATCTATGGAGAAAATGTGTAAGACTGTTTCAGTTTCAAATTACACAAATGTAGGAGTAATGGAAAAGGAGGAAAGCAGCTTAAAAGACAAATTTGGAGGGTAATAGAAGAAAAAATAGGAAAAAGAAAAACGATCTAGAAAATTAGAAATGAAATAATTCAATAAATAGAGTGACTTAGATCTATAAAAATGTTTGGCCTATTAGAATTACATATTCAGAATCAACTTGCAGATCTCAGGCACTGAGATTACATGAGGAGGTCAAATGTTTGGGACAGAGGATTTTTTTTTTGTCGGTCATGGGGCTGAGCTCTGGGCCTGCGCACTGTCCCTCAGCTCTTCAGGTCAAGGCTAGCGCTCTACCACTTGAGCCATAACACCACTTCCGGCTTTTTCTGCTTATGTGGTGCTGAGGAATCAAACCCAGGGCCTCATGCATGCGAGGAAAGCACTCTACCACTGAGCCAACTTCCCAGCCCCAGGATAGAGGATTTTTGAGGTTCTCAAATCTCATAATACTTTCTGCTTAGCTACTAATTCTGTAAGTGTAAGCTTCTCTGAGCAAATAATACACTTGCCCAATGTTCTTGAATAGATGGCAATTGCCACATCCTCTGATCTTCACTACCTGAAGAACCTCCAGATCCTTGCCAGGACTCTTCTGAGAGCTCCCTTACATCCTTATTGCTCAGGGTGTACATAAAGGGATTCAGGGTAGGGTGACTGTGGAATAGAAGAGAGAGATAAACTTGTCCTGCTCCTGGGGGTATCTGGAGGGGGGCTGCAGGTACATATAAATGGCAGATACATAGAAGATAGAGACCACCACCTGGTGGGAAGAACAAGTCCCAAAGGCCTTGTGCCTTCCCTTGGAGGACTGGCTCCTGAGCACAGTTCGGGCAATGAAGCCATAGAAGAGAAGGATGAGAGCTAGGGGGACAAGCACAAAGAAGACCACCAGCACCGCTAATGTTGTATCATTCACAGTCCTGTCAGCTCAGGACAACTTGATCATGGCTGGCACCTCACAAAAGTTGTTTATCATCTTCTGCCCACAGAAAGACAATTGTACATTCTGAACCACTTGAACAAGAGAGTTGCCAAAGCCACTGAGCCAGGCCACAACCATCTGCTGCTGGCAGAGAGTGGTGCATGATAATGTCATACCAGAGGGGCTCACAGAGGGCCACATAGCAATCCAGGGCCATAGCAACCAAGACAATGCATTCAGTGCACTACAACCAGTGGGAAATTGCATACTGCACTGTGCAGCCTCCGTAGCTGATGGTCTTCTCGGAGCTGCCCATGTTGAACAGTATCTAGGGGACCATGGTGGTGGTATAGCAGAGGTCCACAGGAAGGACAGGTGGCTGAGGAAGATGTACATGGGGCAGTGGAGTTGGGGATCCAGGCGGGACACCAGCATGATGGAAATATTTCCCAACATTGCCAGAACGCAGGATACCAGGAGGACCACAATAGAGGGAGCTCCAGCCATGGTCGGCCAGAAACACCCAGAAGGATGAAGTCTGTCAGGGGATCCCCCAAGGCACTGTGGTTGTCACTTCTCATGCTGAGGCATTTGCTGGTCACTGTCAAGAGGTTCAAATAAATAACTCCTGAGATACATAGTGAAATCGTTTTCTGATGCCAGTGTCTTCTCTTTCTTTGTTACAACCCCGTCTTACCCTGCTTAACTGTGTCAAGACACTTGGATGTGGAGAAGTCAGAAGCAAAGCCAGAAGAGCAGCATGCAGTTCTTAGTTTCTCTTTCTCTTTGTGATCTTAACTGTGTAGTCTCTCAAAACTTCACTTTCTGCATCTGTTAAAATGAGGAAAACAAAACTTGCTTCAATGTCAGAATCTTGAAGATGGTAAAAGTCTTTATGTGATGCATATTGTGTGGATGACAATTTTAAATATTTCAGCTCTTTAAAAATAGTTATTGTAGAGTTGATACACAGAGGGGTTATAGTTACATCAATCAGGTGCGTGTGCACCGTGCTCTTCTCATGACCCGGGGTGCAGTGAGCAGTGATTTCCACCAGAGGGTGCTCTAGGTGTGCAAACCGTCCTCCTCAGGACCGGAGTGCTGTGAACAGTGATTCCCACCAGAGGGCTGTCTAGGTCTGCACCGTCCTCCTCAGGACCGGGGTGCAGTGAGTGGTGATTCCTGCCAGGAGGTGCTCCAGGCATGGGCACCGTCTTCCTCAGGACCCAGAGTGCAGTGAGTGCTGCTTTCCATGAGATGGCGCTCCAGGCATGCTCACCTGTCCTCTCAAGACCCGGTGCAGTGAGTACTGGTTTCCACCAGAGGGTGCTCTAGGCACCTCACACTGTCTTCCTCAGGACCCATGGACCCACCAGAGGGCATGCTAGGCATGTGCACACCATCCTCCTCTCTGTAGGACCAGGGTGGCAGCGACCACTGATTGCCACTAGATGGCACTTCAGGTGTGTGCACCGTCCTCAAGATCTGGGGTGCAGTGAGCTCTGTTTGCTGCCAGAGGGCGCTCAAGGTGTGCTCAGTGGTCCTCCTCTCCTCAGGACCCAGTGTGCTTCAGTGAACGCTGATTCCCGTCAGAGGGAATGTACGTGTGTATCATCTATCTGCCTTCCTGCCTGCTGTGGTATCCATGGCATCACACGTGCTAGACAAAGTGCTCAGCCACTGAGCTACAAACATTTTTTACATAACTGAAGCCATCTTGTCAAGTTGACTGGTCAGACTTCTAACTCACTACGTAGCCAGAGTGGACTAGAACTTGTAGTTCTCTTGCCTCTGCAGGAGACAGTCCTGGGAATACAGCAATGTAACACCATGACAGCTCCTTTGGGCTCTATTCCAAGTGGCTTATCACTGAAAATGCAAGAGACCTGTGGTTTACTCAGTGGGCTCAGCAATGGTCTACATCGACATGTGGAGCAGATAATGAATGAATGCTGGCTGCGGTAGGCCTGCCTTCTCCCTCAAAGAGGGTGCTCAGAAGGGTGGCGTAAGGGACTGTCTGCCACATCTCGACTTGGATGGCCTATGAGGAGGCTGTGTGAGGCCAGCCTGTCCTGGAGGCCCAGCAGACGTGGGCTGCTGAGCACTCAGAGGGCAATGGCTCTCTCCCATTCTGTGCAGGCAGCAGGCTGTCCTGAGAGTTCTAGAACTCTGACTTGGCAGCCTGCTTTATGTGCACATTGAGAAAAGTAGATGAAAGCCCCTGTTTCTGACTGTTGCTGGACCTGGGCCTCCTGAGAAGCGTCACTCCACACTGGTCAGAGGCTCTCATGTTGATGGAGCAGGGCCCCTCGTCAGTCCTCAGCCCCGTGGGGACGGGTCTCTAACCTTAGCATCCTGACACCCAGTCTCTTTCATCCTTTTCCCCTTTGTGGTTTTGCCTCAGGCCTTTCTGAGAAGAAGGGTGTGGATACAGAGCCTGTTCCACTCCCCCCTTTGAAGGGCCAGCCTGGGCTCAGTGGACACAGGCAAGATGCCATGACCAGCTGGAACAGCGTCTTCATGAACCTTCCTGAGTCACTTTCACTACTGCGTTTACAAGGGACGTCTTGGCTGTTTCAAAGTACAGATGACCTAAGCACTGGGATCCTGTGATCCAGCATCAGCAGGGCAGAGGCTCACCAGCTTCAGAAAGTTCTATCTGTTTCTTGTCCTTATTTCCCCACTGGTCCCAGGAGGTGGAGTGCTGAGGCTGGGGATGCCAGACAGACACAAGTGACCACCTGGCCATGGCTATGGCCTGTGAAGGGCCCTGCTTTCCATAAAACCTTGTTGGGTGAACTTGGGGGAGGCACCCATGGTCTGGAGAGCATGTGGAAGGAGTGGAACATTTATGTGTTATTTCCCTAGGGTAGCTCTGACACATCGCCCTCCTCAGGACCCAGGGTGCAGTGAGTGCTGCTTCCCGCCAGAGGGTTGCTAGGCACATGCACACCATACTCCTCTCCACAGCCCTCAGGGTGCAGTGAGCACTGATTCCCACCAGAGGGCACTCGACATGCACACTGCCTGCCTCTCCTCAGGTCCCATGGTACAGTGAGCACTGCTTCCCACCAGAGGGCAGTTTAGGCATGCCCACAGGCCTTCTTGCCTCAGGTTCCATGGTGCAGTGAGGCTGCTTCCCACCAGAAGGCAGTCTAGGGATGCCCACAGGCCTTCTCTCCTCAGGTTCCATGGTGCAGTGAGCTCTGCTTCCCACCAGAGGGCAGTCTAGGCATGCCCACAGGCTTTTTCTCCTCAGGTTCCATGGTGCAGTGAGCTCTGCTTCCCACTAGAGGGCAGTCTAGGCATGCCCACAGGCCTTTTCTCCTCAGGTTCCATGGTGCAGTGAGCTCTGCTTCCCACCAGAGGGCAGTCTAGGCATGCCCACAGGCCTTTTCTCCTCAGGTTCCATGGTGCAGTGAGCACTGCTTCCCACCAGAGGGCAGTCTAGGCATGCCCACAGGCCTTTTCTCCTCAGGTTCCATGGTGCAGTGAGCACTGCTTCCCACCAGAGGGCAGTCTAGGCATGCCCACAGGCCTTTTCTCCTCAGGTTCCATGGTGCAGTGAGCTCTGCTTCCCACCAGAGGGCAGTCTAGGCATGCCCACAGGCCTTCTTTCTTCAGGGCCCAGGATGCAGTGAACACTGATTCCCACCAGAGGGTGCTCTTGGAATGCCCACCGGCCTCCTCTCCTCAGGACTTACGGTATAGAAGACATGTGGAGACCATGTCCTCTAGGCTACATGGAGTCACAGCATCCTGAAGCCGAGAATGTGCACAGGGTAAGTTGTTCTGTCTGACTCCATTCTCAGGAAATGATTATGAGTCGGATTTAGGGTTGCTTCAAATAAAACAAAGTAAAGCCGGGCACCGGTGGCTCATACCTGTAATCTTAGCTACTTAGGAGGCTGAGAGCTCAGTACCTTGGTTCAAAGCCAGCCGGGGCAAGAAACTCCATGAGACTATCTTATCTCCAATAAACGACTCAGAAAACCAGAAGTGGCACTGTGGCTCAAGTGGTAGAGCGCTTGCCTTGAGCTGAAGAGCTGAGGGACAGTGCCCAGGCCCAGAGTTCAAGCCACATGACCAACCAAAAAAAAAAATAATTGCAATGTGAGAGACATTAACATGTGTTCAAGGTTATTAGACAGAGTAGCAGATAGGAAGGATATGAGACTTGAAAATTAAGTTGTCTAGTAGAAATGTCACAACCACAATATGTAGATTTAATTCAGTTTAGCACACATTGGTGGTGGTGGTTTCAAAATTAACACAACTTATGTGTCCATTATGTGCTGTTCTGGATTGTACTGGCCAGGGCAGGGTGTTTGCCTGCATTCCCAACTCTGACCACTAGGTGTCAGCAATGCCCGACCAGCCTAAAGAGCAGCCATGTTTACCTAAATTGCCAGTATCAACTGGGGAGCAAACCTCCCTGATAGAGAACCATTCATGACTCTGATGGCTTTGTACAACCTGTAAATACTGCCAGGGGCTTCTGATTGTGTGCAGACCCTCCATTGCCCTTCCTTAAGGAAGTCACTACCTGGCAGGACTCTATCCTGTTCTCATCAGGTAACAGTCCCTGTAAGAACCAAGCACCTTGGGGTCACATGCAGCCACGTCAGGTCCCCTGGCTGCCTACTCTCTGCCAGAGTTCAGAAGACTCATCCACGAGAGGGTCAAGCTCTGGAGGGTGGCTGCTTTTTGTGTGGCCTTGAGGTGTAGTTCATTGCTATTTGGGGTTCGGAGCTGAGGAGGGCTTTCTGCACAGACTCCTCCTGGTCTGAAATGATAAACCAATCCAGGAACAGATTCCAGGGCTGCCTGTTCCCAGGACTGTTGGGTAATATGGCTGTTTGAGTGTTGGCAGCTCCTGAGGGAAGCAGACAAGCATGACCCTAGATACCCCAGGGGCATCTCCAGGGGAGAGGAAGAGAGCGTGTGGAAAGAGCAGAACATTTATGTGTTATTTCCCTAGGGTTGCTCTGATAAATCATGGCAGACTGGGTGGTTTAGAGATCTGTGTTCACAGCTCTGAAGTCCAGCATCATGGAATCAGTGTCTTCTGGGCCACATTCCCTCAGGAGGTACAAGGTGTAGTGTGTTCTAGGTCTTGGTTTCTTTTTTTTTTTTTTTTTTGAGGGTGGAACTAAGTGATTTTTATTGAATTACATAAATATGTATATTGTTGCATTATCCAGGCTCTTTAGCTCTAAAAGAAGGACTTGCCTCAGGAGTTGTAGTTGTTTCTTAAGCTTTGAAATTAGCATAGTGCTTAGAAAAGAGAATGCAGAGTGATAGCTACCCACAGGCAACCTTAGAGACGCTCAGCCTCGTCAGAGTAAAGGTCTGGCTCTCATTAGGAAGTTGAAGCTGTTGCTATATTTTATTTGCATTTCTATAGGAGGGATCTATCTCTTCAATGTGCTCACACCTCTTAGAAGATTGCTTTCCACAGAGAATGGAGCATCCAGGTACCTGCTGATTAAACAGGAGTTAGGGTACCAGGATGGAAAGCAGTGCTGAGTAGCATGCCCAGTGTTTAGTGAGAATAGCCACCAGCCACAAAGTCACCATCAAAGTGAGGCCCGCAGAGGGACAGAGAGGAGCATGCTGCACTGGGCAGATATTTACATTTGTAGTAGGAAGACCCCTACTCAGGCAGGCAAGCCCACCTAGTCGTCCAGAGTGACAGAGCCCACCGCAACAAAGTTGTTAACAAAGAAGCAACTTTATTGAGAAGGTTCCTACACTAAATGGCCAGGGCCAGAGCACAGGCTCGAGAGCTGATACTGCGACCCCGAGTGGCCCCCATTCTTTGGTTTTTAAAGGCAA